AGCTCCCAGCTCCGAAGCGCCGGCAACTAGTTGATCTCCTCGCCGAATACAGTGACTGTTTTGCCACGACATCGAAAGTTCGCCAAACACCAATGGCGAAACATCGCATTATTACTGACGACGACGCACTCCCTTTCCATCAGTGGCCGTATCGAGTCCCCTTAAAGGAAAGGAAAGTGATTCAATATCAAGTCCAGGAGATGCTCCACGACGACATCATTCAACCCTCAAGAAGTCCATGGGCGTCCCCAGTCGTCCTTGTAAAAAGAAGGACGGAACCCTACGGTTCTGCGTGGACTAACGTTGACTGAACGCTGTGAAAAAGAAGGACGTCTATCCGCTCCCCTGCATCGGCGATACGTTAGACCGACTGCGCCACTCCCGATATTTTTCGTCGATGAACTTGAAAAGTGGTTACTGGCAGATTGAAGTCGACGAACATGATCGGGAGAAAACTGCCTTCGTCACTCCCGACGGACTGTACGAATTCAAAGTGATGCCGTTCGGACTTTGTACAGTACGAGCCACCTTCCAGTGCGTCATGGACACCGTGCAGGCAGGTCTGAAATGGCACAGCTGCCTCGTCTACCTGGACGCTGTCATCGTATTCTCACGAGATTTCGACGAACACCTCAGACGACTTCGAGCCGTGCTTCAAGCCATCAAGACCGCCGGCTTGTCACCCAAGCCAACAAAGTGTCGGTTCGCCTATGGGGGACTAAAGTTCCTCGGCCACGTCGTGAACAGCAAAGGTGTTCTACCTGACCCCGAGAAGACCCGCGCCGTAGCTGCATTTGCGGCACCGTCTGACAAGAAGGCAGTAAGAAGATTTCTCGGACTCTGTGCCTACTACAGGCGCTCTGTTCGAGACTTCGCCAAACTATCCGCACCGCTGACACACCTCACGAAGGACGCCATAAAGTTCGAGTGGACAGAAGAACACCAGAGGTCATTCGACGAGCTCAAACGAAGACTCCATACGCCCCCGATTCTTGGCCATTTCGACCAGTTTGCTGAAACCGAGATCCACACCGACGCCAGTAACACCGGACTGGGTGCGGTACTCGTCCAAGTGCAGGACGGAGCAGAGCGAGTTATCGCATACGCAAGTCGGTCGCTGCCTAACGCGGAGAGGAACTATTCAACGACTGAAAAGGAGTGCCTCGCTGTCGTCTGGGCAATAACGAAGTTTCGTCCATATTTGTTTCGTCACAGACCACCACTCGCTCTGCTGGCTAGCGAATCTGAAGGACCCCTCCGGACGCCTCGCCCGCTGGAGCCTACGACTACAGGAGTTCGACATGACCGTAGTGTACAAGTCCGGCAGTAAGCACAATGACGCCGACTGCCTTTCGAGGGCCCCATTTGAGGCCGGTCCTTCCTGCACCACAGACAACGACGATGAGTGTTTCCTCGGCGCTCTGGATGTCAGCGGCATGGCAGCACTCCAACGAGACGACCCTGAGCTGAAAGCACTCATCGAGCACACGGAGCGTCAAAAAAGCGCCGTTGCCCGCGGTTTTGTACGAACACTGCCAACCTTCTCCATCCGACAAGGTGTGCTCTACAAGGAGAACTTCAGCGACAACAGCACAGCGTGGCTGTTGGTGGTCCCTTCCAGTCTTCAAGAAGAACTTTTTCAAGCGTGCCACGAAGACCCGATGGCGGGACACCTTGGTTACAGCAGGACTCTCGCCAGGATAAGCGAAAAGTACTACTGGCCCGAGCTTGCGAAGACAGTGCACCACTACACCCGATCTTGCCACGAGTGTCAACGACAGAAGACGCCACCGACGAGACCGGCAGGACTTCAGCCTATTCTGCCGCCATTCCCCGTTTCAGCAAGTCGGTATGGATTTACTCGGACCTTTCCCACCGTCGACGCAAGGAATCCGATGGATCATCGTCGCAACCTATTATCTCTCGTGGTACGGCGAGACAAAAGCCTTTCCATCAGGAACGGCTGTTGAAGTAGCGAAGTTTTTCATCGAGTCTATCGTCCTCCGGCACGGCGCTCCCGAAGTTCTGACCTCAGACCGTGGATCATCATTCATGGCCCAGCTGACGCAAGAAGTCCTTCGTCTCAGCCACACCAGCCATCGTCGCACCACGGCGTACCACCCGCCGACCAACCGGCTAACGGAGAGACTCAACAAGACCATAGCCGACATGATCTCCATGTACGTCGACGTGGAGCACAAGACATGGGACGAGGTATTGCCGTAAGTCACATTTGCCTACAACACGGCCGTGCAAGAGACCACCGGTGTGACACCCTTTCAACTGGTGCATTGGCGCAAGGTAACGACAATGCTGGACGCTATGTTACCCCACGAACCGGCTGTCGACGCAAGCGACGACGCCCAGGTGGTTGCCCAAAGGGCAGAAGAAGTCCGTCAGCTCGCCAGACTCCAGATTAAGGCTCAACAACGTGTCGACACTGGCCGCTGCAACCTTCGTCGTCTGGACGTCCACTTCCAGCCCGGAGACAGGGTGTGGGTGTGGACACCGATTCGCCACCGCGGTCTCAGCGAGAACCTCCTGAAACGTTAGTTTAGACCCTACAAAGTGCTTCGTCGAGTTGGGGATCTGAGCTACGAGGTGATGCCCGACGGAACACGGACTTCGTCACGCCGCCCTCCACCGACCGGAAGTCGTCCACGTCGTGCGACTGAAGCTGTACTACGCTCGATAGGACTGTGGACCTTATGTGTTCCGAATGACTCTTTAGTTTACTGTTCTTTTTATTTGCTTTGTTTTGTTTTTGGGTTTTATCGGGACGATGCACTTTTTAAGGGGGGGAGTAATGCCGAGCACGCAGCTCGCCAAGTAGTAGATAGCGCGCGCGTGGCCTAACGGTTATCGCGCTTGCCTTCCACGCAGAAGGCCGGGGTTCGATTCCTGGACGCGGCTACACATTTTTTTTTTACACTGTAATCTGATGTTCTGGTGAATTCGATAACCGCCTTGCTGGTTCGAGGTTAGAATGTTCTACGCGCCAAATCTTCTACGCCGAACGATCCAGAAACCCACGAGGGTACATAAGGGATTCCGCAAGGCGAACGGAGTCAGTTTTCGCCCCAGCGTTCGACTCTGCTGCAACGCCGACTGCGACTCCCGCGACGGTCTGTTATTATCTTTTGTACCCTTTTATTTTTGGCACAAGTTCGCCATATTAAACATTTTGTTCTTCCTGTTTATTTCTTGTTTTTTTTTTTTTTTTTTGGTCACCACCCGTGACAATATTTGCCTTCCTCGGAACCTATTCACCGGGCCCAGTCTGATGTTTCGATTGACTTTTTTTTTTTTATTTCTTTCGTATAATGGTGGACACAGGCCTCGTCCCTAGTTACAAATCGACTCAAATTTCTGACGTTCAACTCGAATGCGTCTTTGCTCCGTACTGATCAAGTACGGCACCGATCTTGCAGAAAGACTTTAATGCGAAAGCATTTACGGTTTCATGGCGAGAGCCAACGTCATCAGCTTTCAAACCACGCCAAAAGGCTCTTAAAACATTCTTGAAGTCAAGCCAGCTCCCATTTGCCGGTTCGCCATGCACGTGTTACACCGCTTCTATCCCATTGGCTGGCTCGCGTCGACCAGGCTCTCAATCGCCGGACACGCAGCGCCATGGGGTGACCGATCGTTGAAACTGACGTAGCGCGTCAGTTTCAACGACCGGCCGCCTCATAGCGCTGCTTATCCGTCAGCGCCAGGTCAGCGCCAGTCAGCGCGCCAACCCGCGTAGAGTAAGAATGATATACATGCTTTCGCATTCACAACTCATAAGAAGTTTTAGGTGTACCTCGATCCTTTTTAATCATAATTGATTTCGTAAAATATGAACAACTCGTTCAGAAGTGATGCCCACTGCTTCCTCAGTTTCGCTCACTTTTATGCGGCGGTCTTCGAAAACCAAGTCATGATTTTATCCTGAAGTTATGGTGTGGTAGCCGTTTTTGGAAGTCCTGATCGTGGTTCATCAATTGTGTCCGTACGACCACGCTTGATTTCGGAAACGCAAAACCTCGCAGTGGAAAACGAAGGCGGTGACTTCCCAAGAACAAAATTCAAACATGGCATGATTTAATTTCCGTCACAATTTTTCTCTCCAAATAAAAAAAAAAAAATTACGACCGCTCGAGTTGTGGTTTCATCCATCGTTGAAAATGTTCATGGATGCTCGGCTAGAATGGTTGTTAAAGCCAGACGTTTTCAGATATCAAACTGACATTTGTGGTCATTTTATACAAAATGGTGCCCAACACAGCGCCACAAAAATATTTTGGTAAAAAAAAACATTCCTAACGCTGATTCCGGAAACTTTTCAATCTAACCTCGTATTTATAAAGCAAAAAAAAAACAACAACAACAAGAAAACATTTTGTATATCTCTCTCCTGCTCTTTACCGTGGCATGTCCGAAAAAAAACAACAACAAGAACATTACGAGCTGCGCTCTAATTTCGCATTACACAAAAGAGTAAACTTTCTTTCCATTATAGTCTAAACTAGCAATTTTATTTTCACCTTGTAAAAAAATTAGTTCGTGTAGATATTTGTAAATTACGAACACACAAAATTACCACGGCGATTACTCCGAACTATATTAAAAGGGCTACGCCGCAATCCCTACTCCTTAAAGGTCAAGGTAAAGTTCAATCACGAAATGCCTTCCGTTCTCTCACAATCACGACTTTGACATTCGCCATCTGCCAAAACTTCTCAAGCGCAATTACTCACTGCGACAAAAACGATAAATAATATGATATTCGAACTCCAGGCTCAAGCTAGCGGATCTATATACCCTTACAGATATGAGCACAATACTGCGCGTCTAGCCCCTTACAATAAAAGGCAAAAGAAGCCTTATTACTTCTGAAACAGCCCTCGTACATAGAAGACACGAACTATCTCCATGCCAATCATCGACGTTCATCAACAAAATTTAAAGCATAGCAGTATTTTTAAAGTAAGAGTTTGCCAAATGGAGCGTACGGTCGCTGGGAGCCCGTCCAGCTGGCGACCACCGTGGTTTGACACGAAGATCGCTGAAGCGCCGCGACTGATGGCTTCCTCCGCGTCTTCCGCTGTCAAGGTTAAGAAAGCTAGGTCGGTACACTCACATTTGCGAATACAATCGATGCATATAAATGTAGACGAAAGCTAGAACAGCAGCAGAAGCTTCACTAGACAAGTGACTTGGTAAGACTTCCCGAAACGTTTGTTCGGTAAAGCTTCTTCTTGTAACGTTAAAAAAGATCTATATATTTATAGTTATATTTACGAACACATTGCTGGATTTCATTACTGAAGTACCACAGTTTTTGTATTCCAAAATTTGGTGTTTGCGTGTCAATTTTTAGAGCCCTCTACGCCCAGAGAAAATTAACGTAAAACCTTGGATTTTCTTTTGGCCAGAGCCCGGCATGCTTTTCGCTGAGTGGGTAAACAAATGCCAGGCTTCATTCCGGGTTGCTGGGAAGGTAATGGACCTTTTTACCGCTTGTTCGGTACCTTTAACATTATGCGGTGTACAGGACAAAAATCACATAAAAGCGGAATAAATGTCCTTCCGCACATACTGAAGCTTCGGAGATGAACCCTATTAGGCCCAAGCAGCGATGGGCAGTATTTAAATACAAGCATTTGAAATACATATTTCAAATACTTTGTGTATTTTGCATTTGTATTTTATTACGAATTGGGTCATGCATTTGACGTGTGTATTTAAATACTAAAATGTGGGTATTTCAAATACAAGTGTAATGAAATACAATTTTGTGGGGGAAAATATTTCCCTCAAATTTATTGTCACGACTTATTTTGCTCATCCTAAAACGTGTTCAAAGCTGCTCTTTCTTCATCTCAATGCCAACGGCAACAACAAACCAAGAAACTCTTCATCTTTTCATACAACAGTCGTGCGGCAGTTTGCGTAGAGCGGCTATTTTCCCTTGACAGCCTTATTCTGTGCCGCAACGCGCGTCGTCCTAGCGACACGTTGTTCGAAAAGCTTCTGCTGCTGAAGTCGTACTAGTCCAAACTTCACAGATTAGCACGCACCAAAATTACACTGTACTGAGAAAGGCTCCTCTTTAATGTTGCACTTGCCTCTATTACGTTAAATAAATGTTATTACCAAAGTTACAATTCTTGTTTTTATGCATGTGGTTGTAGGATATAGTCTCAATCCTTTATTCGGCCATGGTTGTTTTTTTTCTTTTTCTCCTCCGGCTTTAATTTAAAGGCACTGTCCAGAGCAGGAAGAAAACTACGTTCTGCACCGAATGCAGCGTCCCTCAATCAAGCACAAGCGTTTAGTGACTTTGTGATTACGGTGCTAGTCCAGGGTAAGAATAGTGACGAAATCGACGTTCACACGCAGACTGGCTAAATAAGTGCCTGTGACAACTTATGATGCTTTCCGGCCCGATTTCCATCCTTATTTTTGCCTGGAAGATTCTAAATGCGCGGGTCGTCCAGATTTTCGTAATTCGTGCGAGTTGAAACAATAAAATATTCTCTAGCTAGGGCTGTGCGTCTTGGTCGTCTCGGATCTTTGTTGGTCTATACCAAAATGTGATCGACAAAAAAAGCTACTTGAAGCTCTGTATTTTTTTCATCTATTACGTCCAAGCTGATTACAGTTTTTTGTGATTATATTTTATTACGTTACTAGAACCTCGCACACTAACTCCCGTGTGAGATGCAAAATTAAAATGAGATACATAGAAACCCGTTGCAGGTGCCCTCAAGTTGCTGACGCAGATTTTGAGGAATGTATTTCCAAAAGTATTTGGAGGAAACCAAATAGATTTGGTTGTATTTGTATCTTATACTTAAATGCTTTTTTGGAAATGTACTTAAATTTCTAATTAAATACATTTTTGACGAAGTATTTTGTATTTGTATTTCGATACATATTTGCATGTATTTTGCCCATCCCTGGGCCCAAGCTTTTGCGTCTAGTCATGCTCGGCGTTTTTCTGGCAGGCAGCCTGTGTAGCCATATTTGTATTTAGAGAGCCAATGGGTACACAATGTGCATTTCCTGTCGTCTGGCGATTCTAGCTTGCGTCGTACTTAAGTGGGAAAATGCCCTCACTCCTAAATGGTGTTTTCTTCGTTTAGTGTCCAAGAGGTGCACCTACATCAAGTTAACCACAACGGTGAAATATCCATTAAAATACCATCTCTTTTAAAAATACGGAGTGAGTCTCGTGTTGCTTTTTTGTTTCTGACATCGAAATATTAATAATAGCAATTCTCAGCTTGAATATTTTCTCGCTATGTGACAAACGTCTTAGGTCGGTACGTTTAACCCAGGCGTGCATTACATCAAGTTATCCAGTAATGAAATTCATGCGAATGCCGGTCAGTCCGTAACCTGCTTTAGAATATCTCCGCAGATGGAGCAGATCTCCATTCGCTATTTAATGCCTCCAAACCTTATAATAAGGATTAATAAAAAAATGTGAATGTAGAATATTGTATAGATTCTAGAGAATTAATCATTTTGAGCGCTCGAATAATTACGTAATTTAAATATTGAGAAGGCACGAATGTTCCTGCCTACAACACAACCGAAGAATGCAACCGCGTTTCAAATTAACTCGAGGTGTGTAAGGATACTATGCAAGTTCGCACCATTAGTGATTACTTTGAGCACCAAAGGTAGACTGGTGATACTCTTTAACCAGGTGATGTCATCCCAAGACTGCGAGGGGTCGATGTGGGCGTCTCTCACGGACACCATCGCTTTCGCGTTGGCAGATTTGGTTTCCGGGCTTGCTTCGAGGTTCCCGAATCTGAGTTGAAAACGCGCTGTAGAAACTTTCCGCGTTCGTCGACGGCGTTTTCATTACGAGATCCAGAGTAACCGCTCATTGACACTGGAAGCGGATCCGCGTTCGCAAAGTTGCGGACGCCGGTTGTATAAAGGTTCAGTACAATATCACGCACACTTCATGTCATTGAGTGGGCGTGCAATTGTACTGGATCCTTATACAACCGCGTTGGCGACCGCTTTGCGAACGCGGATCCGCTTCCAGTGTGCATGAGCGGTAAGAGCTGACTTTTCAAACGACGAACGGTCTTCAGGCCGAATTCGTCAACATCAATATTATAAAAAATAAGATAACAGCCATTGTCATTTTGTTTTGTCTCGTGCTCCAGAACAAGCACTCAAATAACGCATCGAAATTAAACTCAATGACTAAAGTTGAAACTAATGCAATATGCTTCTCTTTTTGAATAATACTTTAAAAATTCATCAACACGACTCATCCGGTTATTTGAGCAAATCTGCCTTCTTACCGGTGGTGATAGTTTAGACTGAAGAGAAGGGTAAAATATGCATGAGTCTCTGAACAAACGAACAGGGCCATGAAACTGCAATGATAATACCAAATCGCAATTCAAGTAGCCACGAACTATTAGAAAACAAAAACGACATGAACGGTCTGTTTTTTTTTTACAAGTTTGGTAATGAGGGTCAATACAGTATAAATTCAGGGTCCTTTTGTACATAAATGTGTGAAAGGCCGAGCTATAGACAAGTCGACTTAACGCCAAACATTTAACACACGTCCACTGATCAAAATACAAAAAAAAAACATCATTATCATAGACAATCGTGGCCGACTGTAGCTCCTTGTTGTTTTCTTTGTTTTTTTTAAATTACTTTGACAACACCGTAATATTACGGCTGCCACGAAATCCTCGTTCCATACAGACAAGATTTTGATCTTGAGTATTAGCCGTTGCAACCTCCGCCTCTGTGGACCATGCCCGAAGTCAGCTCACTCAGACACATCAGCAAGGGGAGGGCAGGGGGGGGGGGGGGGGGGGGGGAGTGGCAACCTCTTACGCAGAAGCTCATCACCTACATAAGAAAACCACGTCGTGATTCAGCAAATAACAAGTTTTCGGGACGACGGAAGTCATCACCAGAGCAAGTTCATGGGACGGCAAAGTAGAATATAATTTTTCTAGCACGGAAGACCAACAAAACTGTTCACAAACAAGCAGCACGTGTCTGAGAACTGGGCACAATCCCTGACTGGCTTTTGGAGCGATGAAGGTGCTGTCATTATTTCGTAAACAGTATGCTAGCATATACGGTCCAGCACTCTGTTTCTAAACCCGTACATATTGACCTCACACCGACCTCATGTCGTCTGTGTCCTAGTCTTGTTCCTGGAAGGCGTCCCTGATAGGTGTGTTTACCGAGTCCAAAAACGCGGTCCCTCGATTTCCGGCTGATGACGTCGCAGAACTGTCATGCTTTCACCGGCCGCGATCCTGGCGGTGTCACAGCGGCGGTGGTATACGTGGCCCACACCTGTTCTGCTGCGGGCTGATCTCCAGCTTGACAGTCCACGGAAGGTTATTAAGCCTGGGTTTGGGACACCACGACGACAGCGACACTCTCGTTTGCTAGTGCTTTTTTGCCAGGACATCTACGCCGAGCAGCCAGGACCGCGACATCCGATCCGACAGCGTGACACTCCGGCGTCAGTGACGCCATGTTTTGCCACTTTACGACCACTTTCGGTTCATGGGCGGAATAGGACTCTGAACACAACAGCCGGCAACGCGTTCCAGATACTATGTATTTGTAGTTGTAGCGCACCGCAGCTCGGTACACCTGGACCAGGAGCTCGCGCTTCAGAAACCAGTGACCTCGGTCTCAATGGAGACTTTTAGAATAGTCCTCACGGTTCTTGGTCCTCTTAGAATCTTATGGTATCGCACTGGTTGTGCGCGAACGTTTTGAGTATCCAGAGTGCAGCACATCAAGCTGGTTGCGGGACCGCTGGGGCGTCCTATTCTAACACTCCCTAATTTTTAACCTGGCCAAATTGCATGAGGGAGGACATATAGCCACCAAATACGATGCTTTTCCGAGCGAAACGTTAGCCGACTTGGTGCTTGTTACCAGTTTTCTGAAGTTTTATCTAACATCGCACGAAGTTAAGTTCCTTCCTCCGAAAATATTGAGGCAGTCTATGACAGAGCTTTCTAATACTTTATCTAAAACTAAGAAAGTTGCATTTTTAACTGTTATTATAACCGAATGCGCTTGCCCTGTACTACGCACCAAACTGGCGGCGCCCAAAAAAAGATTGGGGAATCGAAGCCGATATGTTAAGCACAGTTTATTGACTAGCTGGAGGTGGGCATTGTATACTGCCATGTAACCACCTCTGCATGATGTATGTTAAAGATTGCAGTTTATTTCAAAATACGGGCCCGCTTTTATCACGACATCCTACATTGTAGCGCCAAGTATAACCTATGCTAAGATAAGGGATTAGAGTCGCTCAGTTCCCTCCGACTTGGGTAGCGTATACACACCTAATGCCCCCTTTATGACTCCCTTGTAAAGGAATATTCCTTACGCCCTGACAGTAAAGCTCTTTTTAATACCTAGGATTTTCCAATCGGCTGGAAGTGACTTTAAACCCATTAATAACTTTAAGCTCCCCTTGGATGCATTCTGTGAAATGTGTCCAATTTGTTTCAGTCGCCAGCATTAACTATTGCCGATGAACATGGCCTTGCCTTCTTTCCTAATTTTCAGGACTCTACCGCGAATATTCAAATCGTCTTGCTGTTTTTCACGTCACATTATTTATTAATTATTCAATGGAACTTGGTGATTGTTCAAGGAATAGAGAAGTATGTGATTCTATGCGACTCATTATTTACATGGTAATGAATGATACCAATGAGTAACAGTGTAATTGTGTACTGTGTGTACTTTAGAGAGTGGGAAGTCAATCAGCCGCAATAGGCGCCTGGTTTCTTCGCTGGAGGTGAGAAATTTGCCCACTGCAGCACAACTGATACCCTGGTACGAGAATCAATCATATTGAAGAAGGCAGAGGTACGGATATATCTCAGAATCCTTGGGTTCCGCAGCGCAAGCCTTCGCTCTACCGATGAGTAAAAAATTAACACAAATAATTAATAAAGTTCCCCAGGTTCGACGCACCTGATTCCGTCATGCATATTGAAACGCCGCTTTACTGTGGCGATTTTCTTTCAAAGCACGGGAGAATCCACGGTGACCACGAGTGCCCGGTAGCCAGATCGTTCGGCGCGTCTCACCAGGCTCCTCGTGGGGTCTCGGTCAACGGCGAACTGTACTTGGAACCAGAGGAGGCCGTCTGGCACTTCCCTCTTCACAACCTCCATAGAAGTGCTGCTGTAGGTGCTCAGTACCATTAGAGCCTTCTCTGCCTGAGCTCCTGTAATGTCAGAAAATATCGACGTTCCTTCTACTCGGGTTCACTTTAAAAAAAACATAGTGAAAAAAAAAAGATTTTTTGTTTTATTTATATTTTCTTGTACATTTCTCTACTACAAATTTTTTCGCAATATTTACATTGTTATGCGTAATTAAGTAGTGGTAGCCCTAGTCTATCTCTCTCCCCCCCCCCCCCCCCCCCCCCTCTGTCTCCCGGTGCTCACAAAACTAAGCACCGTTTCTCAGATCTCTTTGGATCGAGAGGTGATTGACGTGCGAAATGTTGGTTGTAAAATTGTCTCTCTGGGCCGTAATAGCATTGTGATCTACAATGTTTTTATGTTTGAGAAACAAGCCATCTAGACTAAGTCATTAGTGTTTTCAAAAAATTATCCCAAGATTCCCGTTCCCCTTCATTTTGAAATGATACCGAACAGGGCTGCCGGCGTCCTGCGGAGTGATCAACTCTGCTAAAACACTCCGTTGGGTAACTCACCCTTGAAACCGGGACCGCTCACCTCCACCGAGGCCAAACCAAATACGATAACAGCGCCGCCCTTTAGCAACTGGTCACAGTATGAAAGTTCATTTATATTGCTACTGCGAAATGGCTTTGCGAGATGGCGCAACCGGCCCTTGCGCGGTTGTACCAGAACTGTTGCGTGCAGACGTGGACTTCCCGGAGTGGCCGCTGCAAGAGAAATAGCGTGGTTGCGATCGCCAATTGTTTGGTTATGGAGTACGTATCGAAGTTCGTGATAAAATGTAAAGCGCGCAAGAAACAAGGACGAAAAAGAGTCGGAGTCGTGTACTGCATTCCGCTGTCTTGTGGTAAGGCCTATGTGGGCCAGACTGGACGTTGTATTAATGATGGACTGAGGGAGAACTGCAACTCTCTCCGTAACACTCCCTCTGGCCTTTTAGCAATCCACCGCAGATGGTGTGAATGTGCTGCTGTTTTTAAAAACAGTAATATTTTAGGACGATTTAAGGAGCAGAGAGAAAGGAAGGTTTTATAGGCTTTTATTATCAAACCTTTGGTGATGGCTGCATATGTCACCCGTCACTTGCTTTGACAGATTCGGAGGAAGCATTCTTTTCCGCGGCAGTACCATGCGCACGTTAAAGAGGGGGAGGGTAGCAAAAGGGGTTCCTTCGTTTTGTAGATTAGAACCGGTAAAAGGGGCGGTAGAGGGGGGAGGATTGAATGACGCATGTGCAGTCGGCGAAAAGGAACTATCTTCGTGTTTTCCCAAATATAATTAAAAGTTCATTTGCGAGTAAGCGCTTGTCTGTCTTACGTGTCCTCTCTTTTTCGTCCTTGTTTATTGCGCGCTTTATATTTTCTCATGAACCATGCTACCAACTAGCCCAACTTTCAACCCTACTGCGGATCGAAGCCACTGTTTTCAACCAGGCTTTATGGCAGTTTCCCAACTGAGTTGTACTAGAAACGATGGGAGTGAGCAACGAGAGCAGCTCGTCCAGCTCATTTGTGTTAA